TTTTACCTACATAATTAACAACAAACATATGCAAATCAAAGAAATAGTAGTATAAGTACGCATCTATCTAACAAACTTTGGACTATCTGTTTTCATCTCTAATCGTTTCGTTATCTGTAAATACGTTTATTACAGATGCTAAAAGATTAGAATGTTACTTTAAAAAAGCATTTAACACCCACATTGTATAAAGAATCATTAGACATCTCATGAAAAATTATACATTACCACAGAGTTAGAAAATAATACATACATAATATATTATGTGTATTAGAAGAATTTAACTAAAAATAACAAATCTGTGACTCGAACCGGTTGACTTTTTAAAAATAGTATATTAACTTTTAATTATTCAGCTTTAATTATATCTGTATATCTGTATTTATGATATTATTGTTAAGAAAACACATTATACACGTACACACTAGTAGCTAGTAGTTTATTTTAATCGGTCTAAAGTTCAAAACGTTGTTGTTTACGAAATAATTGCGTTCACACTTTAAAAAACGTGCCACTTATTTATTTATTTATTTAGTAATTTGGAAAATTGTTTTTTAATAATTTTGTTAATATAATATATAAAAACATTTACACTTATTTTCGTTAATAACATTACAACCATACGTAATTAGCTATTTTACAATATTATTTTTAGCTCAGTATATTTTAAGCTTGTACATTATCACGATAAGTGGTAGTAAATTAACTAGAAAGACTGATTTCTATTTTACTGGGGACGATTTTTAAGGTTTCCTAAGCCTTTTATATTTCTATAGCGTGTACCAGCGACTTCGTTCGAGTCGAATTAATCCTTTGTAATGGTGATGATAAAGCAAAGCAAAGCAAGAATTTCCATTAACATACAAACTGGATAAAATTTTCTCACATTTATGTCAGCATGAGAAAAAACAATATGGCGATATTATTATATAACTTGCTAATATTTGAGGGGAGTTTCATCTCGTTGGAATTTGACTTTCGAAAAATCCGTTTGCCAAAAATAAGCTTTTTACGTCAAGCAGTTTAAGCAGAATCGTGGTTAAGAAATTACCCAACTTTTTCGAAAGACTAATCGTTTTTTAAATAACAAATATATATATTTGAAGGGCGTTTTCACCCTCTTGGAATTTGAGATTCGAGAAACCCTTCCCTATCGAACCTCTACACCCCACAGTCAATCCGTTTGACAAAAATCAGCTTTAAACGTCAAGCAGTTTAAGCAGAATCGTGATTACTCAATGGTCATATTTTATGAAACACCCTGTATACATTTTAAAAAAATCTTAAAATATGTAAAACAACAAAATAAGATATACGTGTTTAAGAGTTTTTCCGAAAAACTCACTGGTTTTTAAATAAAAAATATTCTAATATTTGAGGGGATTGTTTCACCCCCTTAGAATTCGAGTTTCGAAAAATCCCTTCTTATCGAACCTCTACACCCTAAACTCAATCTGTTTTCAAAAAATCAGCTTTTTACGTCAAGCGCTTTAAGCAGGATCGTGATTAATCAATGACCAGATTTTTCGAAACACCCTGTATACATTTTTAAAAAATCTTAAAATATGTAAAAAACAAAATAAAATATACGTGTTGGAAACTTGACCGTTTTTAAATAAAATATAAATAATATATATATATATATATATATATATATATATATATATATATATATATATATATATATATATATATATATATATATATATATATATATATATATATAATAAATATAAATAAAAATAAAATTGGCGATACCAATTAAATTTTTAGTTACGCAATCGAGGGCGCGATATTTAAATTCATTGTTACCAACCAAATTTCACGCTGGGGATTCGGTGGTGCTGTAAAAAATGTCAAGTTGCCACATTTATTTATTTATTTACTGACACTGTCATTCGTTTTGACACTTTAGTTTTGTATTACGAGTTTTTGGTTTAAATGATTTGTGTTGTGATATTTTAAGCTTAAACAATTTTACTAGCAGACCTTACAGTCGAACGTTGTTCTTTTTAGAACCTCTTTTAGTGCGAAGTGTACAAGAGAGCTTAATATATGTTGCAAAAAACTCATTGTAAACCTATTAGAATATTTTGAACGGGAAAGCGGTAGTAATGTTAAAGAGGTGAGTTTTTTTGATGTAAATAATAACTGTTTATATATTTTAATAATTAACTAGCGTATACCCGCGACTTCGTTCGCCTCGAATTAATCACTTGTAATGGTGATGATAAAGCAAAGCAAGAATTTCCATTAACATATAAACTGGATAAAATTTTCTCACATTTATGTCAGCATGAGAAAAAACAATATGCCGATTTTTTAAAAAATTTCAAGTTATGTAAAAAAGACAAAATAAATTATGCGTTTCCAAACGTTTTCCCGAAAGACAAAGACTAACGGTTTTTTAAATAACAAATATTGTAATATTTGAGGGGCGTTTTCACCCTCTTGGAATTTGAGATTTGAGATCGTCCTTATCGAACCTCTCTTATCGAACCTCTACACCCCACAGTCAATCCCTTTGTCAAAAATCAGCTTTAAACGTCGAGCAGTTTAAGCAAAATCGTGATTACTCATTGGTCATATTTTATGAAACACGCTGTATAAATTTTTAAAAAATTCTTAAAATATGTAAAACAACAAAATAAAATATACGTGTTTAAGAGTTTTTCCGAAAAACTCACCGGTTTTTAAATAAAAAATATTCTAATATTTGAGGGATGGTTTCACCCCCTTAGAATAAGAGTTTCGAAAAATCCCTTCTTATCGAATCTCTATACCCTAAAGTCAATCCGTTTTCCAAAAATCAGTTTTGTACGTCAAGCGCTTTAAGCAGGATCGTGATTAATCAATGACCAGATTTTTCAAAATACCCTGTATACATTTTTAAAAAATCTTAAAATATGTAAAAAAACACAATAAAACATACGTGTTTAAGCGTTTTTTCTGAAACTTGACTGTTTTTTAAATAAACTGGAATTTCGAAAAATCCCTTCTTATCGAACCTCTCCACCGTAGAATCAACCTGTATGCCAAAATTGAGCTTCTTACGTTGAGTGGTTTGAGCAGGATCGTGATTAATCAGTATGTCAGTCACTTAAGGATTTTATATATTAGTATAGATTTATTTTTGTTTCCTAAAATATTTTGAAAATATGTAACAGTGGGCAACGCTGTGCCGGTCAAGCTTAATCACGTGACTAAAAGTTTAATTGGTACGAACTATACCTATATCTATATATTTTTAATACATATAGAAATGTTTAACTCTATTATTTTATTTTAAATGTATAATTTGTATAGGAAATTCAAGCTAATAATGGTTTAAAATAATCAACTAACAAGAACAAATAAATTAAATATTGTTATTATGTTAAGATTTTATTAGTCTTCAACAAATTCTTTAAAAAATACATGATCTCTGAACCTTCGTGCCAACGCATGTTGCAAATAGCAACCGTTCAAAGGTTGTATGTAATGTGAAAAACATTTTTTTTATATTAACGTTTCTTTAATTTTGTTTAAATGCTGTTATCGAGAAGTAGTAATTACCAATAAAATAATTTAAACACTTACTAGGTTAGAAAGTTTTCATATCTTAAAAACGATTTAAGTTTTTAAAATTATTATTTTCGATTGATATTTTGATTCAAAATTAAATATAATTTAGTTTCATTAATATCCGTATAAGTCCGTTATTTTACGTGCAACACTGCACTTGACTGCATCGCCAGTGTTGCCAGAAAGTTTCACATTCCTTCAACTTCACAAAAAATTCGAGATCTTGTAAAAAATCACGAAATTTCATCTATTTTATAATTAGGAGAACATTTTTAAAAACTTATTTCTGGTAATTTTTGGACACTGATTTATTTAAATAAACTTTTTATTAAAAAAAATAACACGATCAAAAATGCCGTGATAGATATTCTACAGCAGTATTATAAAGTATGTTTCAAAAAATTCATTGCTGACAATGACTGCTTGAACCGAGAATAATTATTCGTGCAAGACTCCATGATCAGCTGACTTATTAGCTTTGTTTTCTATTTACCTATTTATTTCTTTGCAACATAAAGAACTTTGGTTTAGTTATGGTATCTGTGTAATAAGACGTGTTGAAAGATTAAAATATATCTATTAAATTTTTGTTAAATGTCAAAATCTTTTGAATCGCGCACTTTTTGACAACAACATCGCTTTAAACTGAGGCATCTTTAATTAAACACCTTTAAAATATAATATTTTAACAATTTTGATTGTACAAAACTGCCAGAAACCTTCATATTGTCTTATTTTTGGATAAAAATCGACTTTAAAAATACTTCATATTGAAGGAAATCCCTTAATTCCGGCAACACTGCTCCACGTTGCTGGCTATATCGATTTTTTGACGATGTTGATGTTTAGGTTTTTGACAGCTAAACACGCAACTGCGTTTTGGGAGTGGAGGTGTGTCTGTGACGTCACAGTACACATACACAAATACACGTGGTCTAGCGGATTGCATGTGCATTGACACAAATACCGAAATATTTTATTATCATGTTGTATATTTCTTTATTCGATTCATCAATTTTGTTAATTGAAATTAATCAGCAATCTTTCAGAAATTCAATGGTAGACAAATAGTTGTTTTTAAAAAATAATATCAAAACAAATAATATTTAAAAAAATCCTTGACCTGGTTTTATTTGTATCAGATAAAATTTAAAATACGCTTTTTAGATTATTATTAGATGTAAAAGATACCTAAAACTACTGAACAGTTATATATTGACTAATAATACAGGAAAATAAAAGAATTTGTGAAAGTTCCAGAGAGCGTACCTAATAAGTATAAAGACTCAATAAGGAAATAAATAAATAGCATAATGGCAAACTTCCTTAAAAATTTAGCGTACCGTAAAAATGAACGTTGAACTCGGTTAATGCCGCATAATACCATTCAAAAAAGTTATAAATATGTGACACAGGAATGAAATAGTGATGCTTACCAAAATGCAGTTATTTTTTGTTTTCACTTTATCAAGAAGCACTTCAATTTTTATGACAGGTACCGGGATATTGTTAGGACGAAAGAAAATAATCGAACAATTTGGTGGGGCCCAGCACCAAAATTACAAAACGTCTGTAATGTTTACTGTTTGGCGTACGCCTTCGGAATAAGCGTCGATGAGCGTCGATAGCGTAGGGTAGCGCTGGGTTCATTCAGTGGTCCAAAGTCCGAGTTTCTCCAAGGCGAGAATTAGCTGTTTTTTGAACAGCGGCGGGCCTTAGGAAGAAAAGTTTACCAAAAAAGGTTTCGTAGATATTTCATATAAAAAATATCTATGCCTATGTGGCGTATTCATCTCTCCAAAAAAATCCTATATATGGGTATTTCGCCACTGCAAGAAAATCTACAAAATAAAATAGTTATTTTTTGTAAACACTGATGCGTTAATCCAACGGAAACTACTCGTCAGCAGTTAAGTGTAGTTTACACGGGATAGAAAATTGAGATAGAACTTGCTAGAGTAACTTGCGATAGTGTTTACATTTAAGCAAATTTTAAAGCAATTTCTTGTAACAAGTGCTTCCTAGGAATATGCGTTGAGCAAGAAATTGCATGGACGTATACACGGTATGGTGTATATTGCACAAGTATATTGTTTAGTAGAAAAATGTCGCGCCGTAAAAAGAGAGCTGCATCCACTGCTCTTCTTGTTGCAATTTTACGCAAACCGTCAAGAAAATCTAGAAAAAGAATATGGGTTAAAGAATGGATTGCCAGAAGGTCTAGTGTTAGAGCTTACGCGATGTTATTAAAAAAAAATTAAGAAATGAAGACCCAAAGCATTTAAACAATTTTCTGCGAATGTCAGAAGTCGATTTTACTTTTTCTTTTTATAATTTTGTTCCACTCCTGGTTTGCTTGGGTACGAATATTATGTAGCTTCCGCTGAATCTCAGCCTCAGTCGTGTTGAATTTGTCAGCTATAAATTTGATTGCTTTTTGCTTTTTAGCTCTATCTCTGTAAATTTTCGATTTTTTTGCCACAATTCCAGAAATCCTTCAAATAAATTAATCAAAGTGATGGTATCTTCTTTGGACCACATACGTTTCTCAATTTTAATATCGTTATTTAACACGCCTTCGAAAATCACTTGCACCAAAATCTTTCACCAAGACGGAAATAAATTTTAACTTGCCAGAGCACTCTCCAACCTGTTTACACTTGCAAGCGTCTTTCGCTGCAACCACTTCCCCGCCAGTTTTGTGACTTGCTGGGAGAGTGCTTTCGGATACCGTTTACATTATGCAAGTTTGGTAGAAGTGCTCTCAGGCATATACTTGCGATAATTTACTTGCCCATGTAAACTACGCTTAATGTAAACAGTATTCGAAAGCACTCTCCCAGCAAGTCACAAAACTGGCGGGGAAGTGGTTGCGACGAAAGGCGCTTGCAAGTGTAAACTGGTTGGGAGAGTGCTCTGGCAAGTTAAAATTTATTTCCGTCTTGTTGAAAGTTTTTGGTGCAAGTGATCTTCGAAGGCGTGTTAAATAACGATATTAAAGTAGAGTATGTGGTCGAAAGAAGATACCATCACTTTGATTAATTCATTAGAAGGATTTCCGGAATTGTGGCAAAAAAATCGAAAATTTACAGATAGAGCTAAAAAGCAAAAAGCAATCAAATTTATAGCTGACAAATTCAACACAACTGAGGCTGAGATTCAGCGGAAGCTACTAATATTCGTACCCAAGCAAACCAGGTGTGAAACAAAATTATAAAAAGAAAAAGTAAAATCGACTTCGCAAAAAATTGTTTAAATGCTTTGGGTCTTCATTTCTTATTTTTTTTTTAATAACATCGCGTAAGCTCCAAGGCTAGGCCTTCTGGTATATATATATATATATATATATATATATATATATATATATATATATATATATATATATATATATATATATATATATAACCCATATTCTTTTTCTAGATTTTCTTGACTGTTTGCGTAAAATTATAACAAGAAGAGCAGTGGCTGCAACTCTCTTTTTACGGCGCGACATTTTTCTACTAAACCAATATACTTGTGCAATGCACCATACCGTGTATATGTGCATGCAATTTCTTGCTCAAAGCATATGCCTAGAAAGTACTTGTTGCAAGAAATTGCTTTAAAATTTGCTTAAATGTAAACACTATCGTAAGTTACTCTAGCAAGTTCTATCGCAATTTTCTATCCCGTGTAAACTACGCTTTAGGTTTACAGATAAACAAATTTGCCTAACGAACCAAAAAAATGCTTAACGTTTCGGAAAGTTTAGCTCTTTCTGTCGTCGGAAGCAAAAAATACAAAGAATAAAGAAAAAGACTATTTAAAATATTTAAATTCAACTATTCGAGAACAGTTTAGTTTTTTTTTAAACAGATACGTCTACAACAACCGTTGACGTTCTGTTAAAATGACATTATATCAAGTTAAACTTCAAAATTAACAATTACTCCTACCTGATAACAATTACTTAATAAGGTAAAACCAAAAAGCCTCAAACTTTCTGTATGATTATTTTTAATTTTTAGGTATTTTATGTTTATTTATGTTATGTTCTTTAAAATCAAAGAAACGATTGCCATACATTACTAACATCTACAGATGCAATACATTTATTTTTATTAGATTGTATTAAAAAAAGCCTCTTTTATTTTTCTTTTAAGAGGCTATCGTTTCTTTCATTATAATTTTGGCGTTGTTAAAATGTATTCTGTGCCCTGTGTCCCATGAATGCTGACAAATCTTAGATTTGTGAAAATCTCCCTTTCTTAAATAATCTTTATATTCTTTAATTCGAAAATTTAAGGGTCTAGTTGTTTCATCAATGTAAAATTTATCGCATTCACATAGTATTTGGTATATTACATTTTTTGTTTGTTGTAATGTATTCATTGGCTGAGTGTTTTATATTCTCAATAACTGCAATAGCAAAGAAATAAAATACTTATATATTATGACAGAACCATGATTTTAATATTATTTTAATGCGACCAACATGACGTACTGTAGTACTAAACTCTATTATTTACCTATCGTGTGATAGCTTTTTTAGTACCATACGTGAGATGGTATACAAACTTTATTGGATGGCTATCTAATAAAACTTTCTGTCTGGGCACCGAATATTAACTATAAACTGTGCTCTGGATCTACAGTTAATTTTCCCTCGATTTTTCCTCCACTTGATTGCAAAAAAAAAAAAAACACGAACCAAAATGCAATTCACAATGTTTATCATCGTCCAAAACTCAGGTTATTTGACACCAATGACTAAAGAATATAGAAGTGTCTAGCCCTAGCAGTCAACTTTTAAGCTTGACCAATCAGGTTGGTTAGCGTGGTTATTTGAAGGGTGTTAATTCATTTGTGTTTGTCAAAAACTCTAACGTGATTGGTCGGGCTTAATAGTTGCCTGCTAGGGCTAGACACAAGTAAGAATATAAGGACATGTAACGCCCCTATACGGGCTGCAGCAGAATTTGTGACCTTTCTTTTATTGTTTTGGTGGCAAACAATGAGTCATCATTTGGTCACCAGCGACAATTTTAGCGATTTTTAATAGTTTGTGTGTAGTAAACTTTGTATAAACTTTATTACGGTTCTGGTACCTTTTAGGTATATCGCCAATCTTGACGTTATTGATGTAAATTTGATATTAATATGTTCTACAATTAATATTTTAACGTTTTAAGTAGGGATCGTCGGCTAAACGTTTGAGATCACTTCAATAAAATTATTTATTTTTTGACCAAATTTGAGGTTAAATATAGTTTTCTCTATTAAGTTTAATAAGAGTGACAAAGAAGACATAGAATTAGTTTATTTGTCTTTTGCTCGCGTCTGCGCATATCGCCTTGTATCGCTGGCGGTAACAATGAAATGTTGAAAATCCGGATTTTGTTTTATTTATACTTTCTTATTAATTTTGAAAAATAAGGGTAGCGATATTAAGTTGATAAGAATAGATATTATATTTTGATCTGTGTTAAAGGCTGAGAAGAGGATCACAATGGTAAAAACGTCGGCCGTAACTGAGTTTTGATTGCATTGGTTAGAACATTCTTTTTGGGGGGTTTGTTTTTAGTGTTATTTATGGACGATCCACACTTTTTTTGTTAGAAAATGTCATTATAAGTGTTCCTCTTCTCAATTCTGTATAGAAAATTTTAAAGTTTTGATGTACCTAAAAGGTACCAGACCCCTTTATTACAATGGTGATTAGTTGTTCAGCTTTCAAGTGTAAAAGCAGCAGCGATAAGAAAGAGCCAGGAGTTACGTTTCATAGGTAAATAAACAGTCCACTCCAACTTTTTAGCGTTTTCTTATTGAATTCGATAATTATTCTTCAATTTCAATTAACATCTATATGTGCTATACGTCGATACTAGTTTTGTACCTTTTGTTAACATTTTAATACGTTTTTTTCGTAATTAATTAGGATGATACCCCATAGGCGTAGTGAAAACAATTATCAAAAAATATAAATATTGCTTCAAACAGCTAGGTTAAGAAAAATATGTGCCACGGCACTGTTTGGTGACATCGTCACAATTTGCTCTCGGGTGTTATTTGTCCTTGGATTCTTTAGTCATTGTTTGACACAAATTATAACCTATAATTTGACAATAGTTTGACAAGCCTCAAAAATCTTAAGTCGAGTTCATACGCATTTGCGTCCGTGCATCAGTTCCGTCACTCCAATAATATTGAAATATGATCTGTCATATTTGAAATAAACCAATAAAACTGGTTAAAAACAACAAAAAACGACGCATGATGGATTTATAAATAAACCCATCCATAGATAACTTAAAAAATATTAGAAACTTTTTTATTTGTGTAATAAATAGATTGGTATTGGCAAAGGTATTGGTATGGATATCATCTGCATTTTTTTCTGTCATCGTCTATCAAAATGTTACCTTAATAAAATAGCTTTGAAATATAAAAATTTAATTTTTTTGAAAGAAAAAAGTTATTTCATAATATTTGGTACACTACTTCACAGTTAATTTAGGTTCATTTGAACATTAGCGCGTACCAGCGACTTCGTTCGCGTTGAATTAATCATTTGTAATGGTGATGATAAAGCAAAGCAAGACTTTCCATTAACATACAAACTGGATAAAATTT